TTAAGGCCATTTTCGGATCTGCCTGTCAGTAGGTAAAGTGTTCCTTGGCGGGTTTTACTCCCACAGGTTTTATGGGCATAATCTTTTATCTTATTCTCAAAATCGCTCCAAGGTCCGCTGTTTGACGCCTCAAACTGAGGTACAGCATTCGCAAGAGTGAAAGTATTCTTCATGTAAGTTTTGTCAAAGGAGTTGATACCCGAGGGATTCATATGGCCTCTGGTAATCTGATTCCCATACTTGTTTTGAGCTTCTACGTTGGCTTGTTTATAAGCATCGTCGACACCAGGAACACCTATAATCATAAGCCACATTCTTCCATGAATACAGATAACTTCTCACATTTAAATTATCAAATCATATTTTTATGAATACGATGACGACAGTGGTGATATTTTGTCTTTTCCATTATGATAAAATTACTAGTTACAGGGAATCATATCGCTTTTTTATCTCTTTTCTGAAATTACGGAAGTATGAAGCCTTCTGACTGCACCTTCATTTCTCTTTGCAAAAAAGACTTTGCTAGGAGCATACGAGTAAATGAATAAAGGGGTAAGTTTCTAGAGAAACTGTGGTGCTGCGTCGGTGGGAAAGTATAGCAGGTAATTCAGTGTTAACAACTGAGTTGAAAACGTAAATTAGCCACCGTAAAGGGTAAAAAAGCTGACGTTTCGAGCGTTAGCCCTTCGCAATCGCTCTGACGAAGGGCTAACGCTCGAACGTCAGCTTTTTTACCCTTTACGGTGGCTGATTTACGTTTTTAACTCAGTTGTTAACACTAAATTAGCTGCATACGAGTAAAGAGGCCTTTAAGGGGTTAGCACTTCTATTGAAAAACCCTGCGGAAATAATTTAAGAAGTGGAAATATGATGGCTTTCCCCACTTCTTAAATAACGTTGTGTGTTTATAGCAACGAAGGGTATACTCCGAGCCTTTGTATTTGTTTCATAGATTGATTGTCGTCCAATCGGTCTTGAAATAAGTAATTGTTAAATAGCCATTTACGTACCTGGAGGATCACTCCAATTTTGTTTAGGTCTCTTATGCGTGCCAAGTCTCGCTGCCTGCGCGGGTAAAACTTTGTAGGCTGAGTAAAAAGGAGTGTTTGTGGTTGGATCGAAGAGAGAAACAAAAGAAGGGGGCGTTCCCTGCTGGATTTCTGTGCCCCGATTAATGTCAGGAAGTCCAACTGGACGCTTGCCTCCAACGAAAAAAGGGGGAGGTCCGCCCCAGAGAAATCTTTTTCCTTTATTTGGCGATTCCCCTGAGGGAAAATCACACAATCGGTTACAATATTGCAAAACAAGGATCAGGTAGCTTCATCAGTTGAATTTAACAACTCAACTAGAATTAATTTTACTTATCACGTTTGGCTAAAAATTTCCCAGTTCACCCTTCACCCTTCACATAAGAACCATTCTAGACTACATTTTTAATACAGGGTTTTTTTAAATATATAACCATACATCATATGCGATACAAAAAGGGCAAAAAAAAAAAAGACTAGTCCAAACACGGACCGTGTTGTAAGACCACAATACTGTACTGTCCGTAGCTGTACAACATATCCGACTAACTAACCATGTAAGGGAGGGCGCTAAGAGGTTGGCATACACCCACGAATAGAGGTTTCCTGTAGTGTAGTAAAGCCACAAAGGCTCAAAAACATACGCTTTACTCCGAGCACACGAAGTAAATCACTCCTCACTTTCCCGCCCTCGCACACACTTTACGTTCCCGTATATATTTACGAACTACCACTGTACTAATACATTACATTTCCCCTCTTTACACTTATATTAAGAATCTGATTTAGAACCTAAGTAAAATCTAATTCCATTTATACGGAGGTTAACTTAAAAACCTAGGTTCTTATATGCGGGTCTTAAGTGTAGCTTTCGTTAGATTCGTTTGATTGGTTACGAATCGCTGGGTAAGGTAGCTTGTTTTCATCGGCCTGTTCCGGTAACGCTGGGCAAAACTCATCTCAGAGCGCTGGTGGCTTGTCTTGAGCTAGTTGGTGTAGGTTTAATTTCCTTGGTGAAATGATAGAAGACAAAGAAGATTGCAAACTTCCTTTTAAAGACCACGTGGTCATAATAGGTGAATCTTGCAACGACCACGACTAGTGGTCGTTGCAATAGTTGTCATATGTCGCCTTTCATTTTTGCAACACGCATACGAACCCGGCTAAGTAATCATGGGTCAATATAAATTTGGTCAGGTTAGCATGTTACTTAGTGAATGACAAATTTACACAGCATGTTAAAACGCAACACATAATCAACTCCCACGACTGTGACGCACTTCAAGGAGAAGTGCGTAAAATACGACCAGAACACACTTCTTTAAAGACGAATCTTTCAACAATCAGGCCACAAAAAGTCAATTTATGCGACCAAAAAAAAATTGTCGACGTGTCTTTTTCTTCGCAGAAACAACTACACGAACGGCTAAATTAGATAGAAGACGCAAGAAACAAATGCTGCTACAGCTCCCATGACAGCCCTGGCACAACGAACAGATACCAAAAACTCACGCATGTAATCAATTAAGCAACATATAGATTATTTGTATCTACCAGTGGAATTTCTTTTTGAGGACTCGGTAACGGCTAACACTGAGATAGCAATTACTAAACACCAAACGGTTGTTGTCTTCATTTCCCTTGGTCCGGTCGTCTTATGCAGGATCTAAATGGACTGACATGAATTAACAACTGTTCAGTTAAGTGCTTAGACGGTCGTTTACTTCATTACTGTCGTGGAGTCAGTGAATTATAGGGCAGTTTGATACAGTGATTCATTTGTGTCTCGATAAGTTACGAATTCGAAGTCTGAAGTTATATTGAATTGGGTTTTAGCTATTACCTTATGTTGACTAACTTGGCTATCATTCAGTAGTGGAAGGGCCTGCTTGGTCTTCTGTTCTTGCCCAAGACCAACACTACTGAATTTTCTTCTTTTTTTTTTTTGGCTTTCGCAGTCAAAGATTATTTGTTTGATGAGAAACGTCAGGTAAGTTGTTGTTCATTCGTAAAATTCTCGTGAAAGCAGGTCTGGATTCTGATATGGTCAGTTGGTTCGTAAGTATCCGAGTTAGAGTGAGGTAGCAGTGATGAGATTCAGAGTCTGCCACAAAGTGATTAAAGAAAAGCGATTGAGTTTATGTTAAGCAGACCTGTGGCAGAGGACAGGGATAAAAGAAAAACTTACAAATACTTTGAACATGAATTGACATCAAACAGGTATCAAGTTATAACATCAGTTAAAAGGCACTTAAATGGGAAGTCGTTGACCGGAACGGAAAGGAATTCCGGAAATTGTTATCTTAGAAACACGACGTTGGTAAGAAAGATAGTTGTCATATGTCGTCTTTCATTTTTGCAACACGCATACGAACCCGGCTAAGTAATTATGGGTCAATATAAATTTGGTCAGGTTAGCATGTTACCTAGTGAATGACAAATTTACACAGCATGTTAAGTAACTGATTTGAACTGCAAAAATATGCAGGAGATCATAAACTCAGATTATTATCTCTTGAAAGAAGTTAAACTTCCACATGGCAATTATGGAATTTTTTTTTCTTTGCAGCAAAATAAAAGTTAACTTTCATCATTTTTTCCTTCCCCTTTTCAATGATTTTGAACTAAGGTTTTTTTATTGCTTGGACACGTGGCATTGAGAGCCGGAATGACTGAATTCTTTAATACCCGAAATTATTGAAAGGAAGAAATGGAACTGCACGTGGAAAGAAAAGATAATAGAGCCGCTTTTTCGTGTTTTTAATAATAGAGGTCTTCTAAGGGAGTTTTTGTGGCCGCTTTGTCGATCGTTTGCCAACACACTCGTCCAGTCTGTTTGATTAGGGGCAAATGTGACACCATAATTATTTCTATTCCTTAGAAAATTTGTGGCGAATTGTCTGAGTTGAGATAACTCTTGTTTCCTTAGTAGGAATGTTGAGGGTGTCATTGAATCATTTTATTGATAAGTTTATAAATGAGTGGAAACATAAACTGATTAGACAAAGTCAACATAAGAACAACCTTAAAGTGGACATTCGGAAGCTCGTTTTGTTGCACCTTACCGAAGTAACATATTTGAGAGAGCAATTGTAAAACTCTCCCCGTTTTGAAATGTCTATTAAGTCTTAAGTTAATTCAAATCATAGTATGACTGATATCGTAGAAAATCTCGCTTTGTACTTTGTTTTTAATACAGGCGTGAAACGAGGTGCTATCATAGATTAAATCAATAAAGTTCTACCAGCATAGTACCGTTTATAATTACCTCGATCAGTGTGACATACAAACTGAGGGTGGAGGAGTTATTTCTTAGCATCTAGCACACGAAGAAAAGTTTGTAAAAAAGACGACTTAAAAAACGTTCTTTCTTCTTATTACAACTTACTTGAAATTTGGCAGAGATTTCATTAAAAAGGAAAGGGGAAGTGAGGTGGTTCCAGAACAAAACAAGCTGTCTAACTTTGCTTTAAAGATCAATAGTAATAATAACAAATAGATTTCACAATTGGCAGAGTTATGCATCCCATGGTTTCTTACCTAGAGGTGATAGGTGGCGATCACAGCAATAACGGAAATCCGCGGAGTCGTGCTAGAGCTCGAAGTAAGGGTTCAAAATATTGTAAAAGTTTGCGATGGACGTTCAGTAATTCTGTTGTTCTTTATGCATGACGTTAACACCGGCTTCTGAAAGATGTATCAAATTATTCCACCTGCTTGAAGAACTCATTTAGGCAATCACCTATTTGAATTGGGAAAATGAGCAACATATTTTTCTGACAACAGGCTATGGATTAAAAAATAATTGATATGCTATTTCGATGTTTCAGAAACGCAGCAATTGCGTTTATTTAATTTGGACTTGGGAACGAGGAAAGTCAGGCAGGGTTAGGCTAACGTGTTACACCATAATGGCCCAAATTTTTTCTGAAGCAATCTAATGTATTTTCATGAATTAATGATATCTATTCTTCGAATCCTTAGGCGGGCAAATAACAATAAACCTTTGAACTATTGACAGAGACTTACTCTTTTTTTACTTTGATTTTCGTGCTTTTCGATATAAGTACAAAGGAATACTCTGAGGAATGGTCGTATCAAGGAAAAGGAATGTAAAAAAAACTTCATTTTTAGACAAGGATTATTTTGTTTCTTCGCATAAGTGCACCCATGTGCGCGATAAATGCACAGCTTTTCTTTCCTCTTATTTCACTATTAGAGAAAATTCCTTTTTCTTTCAGAAAGATTTTCCAAAAGTATCGTAGAAAGCAAATCAGTTTGAATTGATTGATTCAAGTAAAAACTAAATACCAACACTGCGGTTTAAACCACGTTAGAGAAGATAAGGGGAAGCTTCTATTGTTGTGAGAAAGTTTGAAGATATAAACGAACCGGATTTCCATACGTCAAATTTCCATTCCATGATTTCCATTCGTCAAAAATTTTAAAATGTCAGTCACCAGGTTTTAAGATGAACAGGTACCTGTTACTACCTGATAAGTCAGGAAATGTGGGTGGACCTTGTGTTAGGTTTTGAAGTAGGTTCAGAATGTCCAAATGGGCTGTGAATATTCTCAAAATTGAAATGATTTTAGGAGACAAAAGCGTTTTAAGAAACATCCAGTCAGTAAAGCAAACAATGATAGCTGTATTTGAAAAAAGGTGATGATTTAACGTAGTTTCTAAATTTTCTCTTAGGTCGAGAATTAGAAAATTTGGCTAAATACGTTATTATAAATACGCTATTAGGTTTTCATGAATGTTATCTCGTTCATATTCAACCCTACTAAAGATTTGAGCTATGTTGTGACACTTTGAAGTTTATTGATCGACAATTTTCCCTAAAGTTGGGGTTATTAAAGTAAATTTAGCCAATGGAAAGTAAAACTAGTTCGAGTAACAGGGAGTTCGAGTTAATCGTGTTCGAGTTAGCTGATAGCAAATGACTGGAAAATGGGGTCAAACTCAGGGGGAAATCGTATTTTGCTCAAATTAGCGGGGTTCTAATTTATCTACTCTTCAGAGTAGATAGATAACATCCCACTCGGCTCGTTCTTCGATCCCCTTGTTGTTTTGCACAATGCTTTCTTTCAGTGTATTTTGAAATCTCTTAACAGTCAAGTTGGAAGTTAAACTTGAGGATTTTGCCAAATTCTGTAAGATATGTCGTAAAACCTCAGGAGCTTAGGTTAAAAACCAATCCTTCGTTTTCTAAGCTTTCGTGAAAGAGGGAAATTGGAGTAACAGCCACTTTTGCTACATTTCAAATTCGCTAATAATATCACTCATAAACTCAAGAGTTTCTCTTCGCTTCGCTCTTCGTCAGAGCAAATGACCAAGGGCTAAGTTTGAAACTCTTTACGGTGGCCAATTTACGTTATCAATTCAGTTGATAATAGCAAATTACCTAATCCACTATAATCCAAGCAAGTGAACTCTATTTCACTTGAGATTACTCTGTTACACTCTCCTAACGACGCAGCATCACAGTTTCTTAGAAACTTACCCTTTTACAATGGATTTGGAATAAATTATTTCGACGAATTTGACTGAAGTACTTTCAAATTAAAACTAGTAGGTTAGGTTGGATTGTAGAGGGTCGGCTTGAATTTATTCTGGCGAATTAGAGTGGATGTGGGTTTAATTAAATTGTATTAGAGTGCAATGGAGTCGACTGAGATTAATTTCGGCGGCTTTTCTACGCACAAAGTCAAACAAGTAAAGTCGCATTAATTTTATTGCACAATCAACTTAGATATCTTGCTGTAATGAACACAAATATTAATTGCCTAACTCTAAGCCTATGGCAAATAAGCTTTTACTTGATAAATTTGAAATGCTAACCTACATTTATGTTTCGTCTTAAATTAGAGTTTTGTATGCATGGTGGGGTCTACAAGTCTGCTAAGGTTCCTTTTTTTAAGGTTCCTTTTTTTTTGGCTTTCGTAGTCAGATTGTTTGTCTGATCAGAAACGTCAGGTAAGTTGTTGTTCATTCGTTAAATTCTCGTGAAAGCAGGTATGGATTCTGATACGGTCAGTTAGTTCTCAAGTTAGTACTTCGTAAGAATCAGAGTTAGAGTTAGGTAGAAGTGATGAGATTCAGAGTCTGCCACATAGTGATTAAAGAAGAGATTGAATCTATATTAAACAGACCTTTGGCAGAGAACAGGGATTAAAGAAGACCGTAAAGGACAAGGAGTCTCCAGTGCCTTCCCCTTAGCGTTGGACGTTCTTTAGCTACATTCCACCTATCTGCGCCTTACAAATACTTTGAAATTGATATCAAACAGGTATGAAGTTATAACATCAGTTTAAAGGCACTTAAATGGGAATTCGTCGACGGGAACGAAAAGGAATTCCGGAAATTGTTATTACAGTAACACGACGTTGGTAAGAAAGATAGTCGTCATGTGTTGCCTTGATGAACCCGGGTAAACAAACATGAGTCAATATAAATTTGGTCAGGTTAGTATGTTACATCATGAATGATAAATTTACACCACATATTAAGTAACTGATTTTGACTGAAAATATGCAGGAGATCATAAACTCAGGTTATTATCTCTCGAAAGAAGTTAACCTTCTACGTGGCAATGATGGAATTTGTAGCAAAATAAGCGTTAACTTTCATTCCTTTTTCGGCTTCCCCTTTTCAATAATTTTTAATTACTAA